AGTGATTATTGATCCCTTAGGCTCTGACATAACTATCAGCACAACCCCTCCCCATGAGGAATCCACACAGGAAAGTCTGCTTCAAGAAGCTGGTTTTGTCTTTGGCTCTAAAGGCTGTAAGGTTGAGGCCCATTCATCCTATTTACCAATGAGTTCCAGATTCAGCCAGCACCACTCTTGTGAGTGACAGCCCCAAGAGGAAAAAGCAGCTGTCAAAAGAGGCCAGGATCTCCCAAGGGGAGATAGTTCCCACAGACAACGGGATCTGATCCCATGAACAGCAAATGAGGACTGAGACCTTGAATATAACCTGAAGCATGGAGTACAGGAATGCCAGGTTGTCAAGAGGCCAGTGCTGTTGACCTGCTTGACCGTTGTGTTCTGAACCACTGAAGTGTCTTAAAGGTTCTCATTTCTACACCCAGTGACAGAAAACTCCAGGAATCAAGCTGGGGGTCAATAACAAGCCTGAAGCTAGCATGAAGGGTTACAAAGTACCTACCTGTTCAACTGATCAAAGGGCACTTAGCCTCACAGGAGGGGGAAGGTACAAACATGGGGTTCTTGGAAATGCCTCCTACCCCCTCTAGCATCATCTGTCTTTGCAAGACTCAGCTCCAGACAGGTACTTTTTCCTACTTCAGCACAGTCCTTGGAGACCTGGGACAGGGTACTCTTTGTGTCTCAGGTGAAGGTGATATAGAAGCTGACCAGTATCTGTGGATCACTGGTGCATGTTTCAAGCCATGCACCAACCTTCTGTTGTAGCTGCACCCAGATGTGGCACAAGCTGGGGAGAAGGATGGATTCTCATGTAATGGCATGGGCAGGGTCTATGGAATCAGAGGAGCAACCGCTCATCAAGGTCCTCTATATGGAACTTGAGAATAACTGAAGCCATCATAATATAGTCCCACCAACCTCTGCCACATCTTCAAGAGATGATGGCCAGATTCCACTCAGCTGTATCAAGTGCTGCAAGACGCCAAACAACAGAAATATGGGTGTGTTGTTCAGTTGTGATCAAGAGATTTTCCAGCAGTGTTACCAGCACCAACAGTATTCTGTATACTGGGCTGAAATGTGATTGGGAGGGGTGAGGATACTGGAAATGTTGAACTGCCCTTGGAGATGACCCTTGGTGGACTACTCCAATAGCCTACTCAAGAACAGGAAGGGGATTGGGATGTGGGCTAGACTCAGAGAAGCTGTCTGTGCTGAGTGTTGGCTTCTTTAGCACTAGTGATTCACACGCTGTTTTTGGATGAATGGTGATTTGCATCCCCAAAGCATGTACTGACAAGCTCCTTTTTAGGGGCCTCAAATGCTTTTTTCTTCCATTACTCAAGAAAGGCATGGGTCAGTGTTGTCAATCACAGCTCCCTAACATGGATGTCTTATACCGGTCCCAACTGGTCATTTGTCCATATACCAAATTGGCGCATAATCTGGCAGTATTGCTTATTGCTCTGACAGTGCAGCGGGGGGCTGCACATCAGGCCTGGGGTGCAGCGACAGATCTATGTGAGGGTCCCAAGACAGGAATAAAAGGTCAGGACTGAGGTGCACTGGCAGAGCTCTTTGGTATAGCCTTTCATACCTCCTACCTGAAGTATTCCTGGCCGTTAGCCAGTGCCTTTGAGTCTTGATGAGAACTCACTAAATACATCCACTTAACATTTGCTTTTTTACTTTTAAGGGCACATTGCAGAGATCTCCTGTACGAAGGCCACTGGCTCTCTAAGCCATCCCTGGAGCTTCCAGTCTCTCTGCTTCTCTTTGCTCTTGACCTCAGTAAGCATCCCACAATCTTCACCCCTCCTGTGGATGAGAGGAAGTCACCCCCAAAAGTCAGCTTATCTGCATAGCCCTGACAATGCAGCACTCCAACAGAAAACAAAAAGCAGAAGTGCTCGGCATCATCCCTCCACTGCTGGTACCTCCCTCCCCTTTAGGGCTGAGTCCAACTGAAATTCAGTTCATCACCAGCACTATCAGGCAACCACTGGTCTGAAAACAGGTTGCCCTGGTTCTCAAAGGGACTTCAAGCTCAGCTCCCTGCAGCAGACAGGGAGCGTCTAAGCCAGGTGTCTGCAATGAGATGTAGGAGCCACCTACCGGCCAGCTGAAGAAAACATGTAAATTACATAATAAGCAGGGATCTGGGTTTTCCATTTCCCATGGGAAAACAGGAAAAATGTGAATTTTCCCCTTTAACTGAGAAAAACATGGATTTTTCATTTTAATGGAGAAATGCAGATTTTCCATTTTTGCAAAAGGCTCACTGCAGACTAGCAGAGTTCCAGCCTGCAAGGGGCTGGGAGAAGTGGGAAGAGAGCGGTCAGGCAAGGGACACCATGCACACGTGCACGCTCACACATGCACATGGCCGCTAGCCAGCTTGGAGAGCAGCTCCTGCAGGTAAATCTGGTGGGGGGAGGGGGTACTGAGGCACCCATAGGGAGGGAAGGAGTTGGGCAGGGCTGGGGCTGCTGCCCAGCCCAAGTGTTGTGGGGCTTGGGGTCCAGGGCTGGAAGCCACAGATGCAGCGCCCTGGCTGGGAGTGGGACGGGGCCATGGGCGGCTCGTCTGGGGGGCAGGGAGGAGCTGGCTCCCCACTGCTGCGTGCACTCCCAGGGGGGCATGGGGGGCATATGCCCCCCAGATCTGTAAGCGGAGTGGGGGCAGGTTACCCTCTGTGGACTTGAGCTCTCTGCCTTGCTGCCTTTCCCCCTGGGCCCTCTGCAGCTTAGTGGGAGGGACTCAGTGTGGCAGGGCAGAGTGGGGCTGGGCGGGGAAGCTCCTTAACGCTGCAAGCCCTGCGCCACCCAGATGAAACGTCCCCTGCCCACCTGACAGCAGTGGGGGTGGTGATACCCCATTCTCATCAAAAAACTAGGTGACTGTGGCATTGATGCCTACACAGTCAGATGGATCGCAAATTGGCTGAAGGGTTGTACTCCGAGGGTAGTGGTGGATGGGTCTTTTTTGACCTGGAGGGAAGTGGGCAGTGGAGTCCCCCAGGGCTTGGTCCTTGGGCCTGCACTGTTCAATTTCTTTATTAGTGACTTGGACAATGGGGTAAAAAGCAGCCTGTTTAAATTTGCTGATGATACCAAGATTTGGGGTGAGGTGGGCACGCTAGTAGGGAAGGACAGATTACAGCAGGACTTGGACAGGTTACAGGGGTGGGCTAACAAAAATAGGATGGGCTTCAATACTGACAAGTGTAGGGTGTTGCACCTGGGCAGTAGGAACCAGCAGCACACTTATAAGCTGGGAAACTCCCTTCTCAAAAGCATGGTGGCATAAAGAGAACTTGGAGTCATTACTGACTCCAAGATGAACATGGGCCGACAATGCGAGGTCACGGTCAGTAGGGCTAACCGTACCTTGTCGTGCATCCACAGATGCATCTCAAGCAGGGCCAAGGAGGTGATCCTCCCCCTCTATGTGACACTGGTCAGGCCACAGCTGGAGTACTGTGTTCAGTTCTGGGCGCCGCACTTCAGGAGGGATGTGGACAGCATTGAGAGGGTCCAGAGGAGGGCCACCCGCATGATCCGGGGACAGCAGGGCAGACCCTACGAAGAGAGGCTATGGGACCTTAACCTGTTCAGTCTTTGCAAGAGAAGGCTGAGGGAGGACCTGGTAGCTGTCTATAAACACACCGGGGGGACCAGCAGGGTTTGGGAGAGACGCTGTTTCCCCTAGCGCCCCCCAGGTTAACAAGGAATAACGGCCACAAATTGTTAGAGAGTGGTTTAGACTAGACATCCGAAGAAACTACTTCACAGTCAGGGCGGCTAGGATCTGGAACCAACTTCCAAGGGAAGTGGTGATGGCTCCTACCCTGGGGGTCTTTAAGAGGAGGCTTGATGTCTACCTGGCTGGGGTTATTTGAGCCCGGTTTTCTCTCCTGCCCAGGCAGGGGGTCAGACTTGATGATCTATAAGGTCCCTTCTGACCCTACTTCTATGAATCTATGGAGTTGTGTCTTGCCATGGGCCTCCCAGTGGCAGCAACATGTTCCCTGCCCGGGCTCACTCTGACCTGCCGCGCTGGGTCCCACCTGCTGGGCTGGCAGGGAGGTTGTGGGTAGGGAGTGAGGGGCACTAGCAGGACAATGGGGGATGTAGATGGGGAGTGAGAGGCACCAGCAGGGGTGGGGTGGGGACTATGGAGGGGGACTGAGGGGCCTGGACCTGCGTCCTGGTGAGCAAAGGGGGCAGGGGGAACTCTGGTTTTCCATGATAAAAAGCCAAAATCAAATACCAAAATGTATAAGTGCTTAGAATTTATTTTATTATAATGATTGAGGCAAATTGCTTTAAAATTGTAAATATATCAATAAAACATTGTGTTCAACTGATATATACATACACACACACATATATATACATACATACATATATATGTGTGTGTGTGTGTGTGTGTGTGTGTGTGTGTGTGTGTGTGTGTGTGTGTGTGTGTATATATATATATATATATATATATATATATAGTGGCGTTTCATTTTAATTGTGGATTTTGTGGGTTTTAATAAGAGAATTTGAGATTTTTATCAGAGGATTTGTGATTTTTAGACAGAAAAAACTAGGACCCTTGATAATAACCATGCTCCCCAAGGAGCTTCTGTACCAGTTTAAGGTGCTGACCCTCATCTACAAAGCCCCTGACAGGCTGTAACCCTGTTACGCGAGGGAGTCCCTTGCACTGCCTGAATGATGCTGTGACCAGAAGGGACAAGGCAGTGGATGGTACACAGGACAGTGCTCGCTGGAACCAGAGGCGCTGAGAGCTGGTGGCAGGGCAGTGTGTGTGCTGCCACTTTAAGGGCCTGGAGGTAGCAGCCAGCAGGTGCCTGATGAGGGCCTGCTGGAGGCCAGGCAACACCACCTGGCTGGAGGGCTGCTGGTATCATCTGGAGGTCAGGGAGGAGCTGTAGAGGATGGTCAGGAGGCTCCTGGTCCTGGGTACGACCTAAAACTGCACCCTGCTGGGAGTGGGTGGCCTGGTGGGGCGCTCAGTGGCGCGGGAGCCCCCAGGAAATGCCAGGCCCGGTGAAAGGCGGGTCAGGGCGCCTTAACCCCTAGCCCCCACCACCGGGTGGGTGACCCTTAGTTTGGAGGGCCCAGAGGGTGGACCCTTGGGGAGAGAGAAAAGGGCCATAGACTCAGGCCTGTCTGAACTCCCCCCTGATTGGTCCAAGCTGGGGCCAGGACCAGAAGGGTCGAAGGGCCGGGGGCCCATCGCGAGGGACGCCCAAGAGCCGAGGGCCTGGGGCTCTGACTGGCCTGGAGGTGGGCCAGGGCTAGTGAGCCAAAGGTCCCGGTGGGGGGATCACACCCGAAGGGGAAG